ACTACTACTCACACTCCGTACATATATTCTCATCACTGAATCCAATCAAATGGAATCACATCAAAACAAAAAACAGCTCAAAGCAATGATAGCTCTAAACAGCCATACTACAAAAACGATTACAATGATGACACAATCTAATATTGTTCAAAACATTCAATCATCACAAGGATGCAAATATTACTCTGAAATAGTTCATTCAAAATTTTCACACTAGATATGATTCAAGACTGGATTACATGTATAGGCACACAGAAGCAGATCAATTTTGACTACATTCACCCATTCTGTATTACGAATGCGGCTACTATTGCATAAAACGAACGGTGCTTAATCACTCCTTTTAGCTGGTAATCTCAAAAACATTGCAGTAAATGAAATCGAAAAGAAATGCTTAATTGAAGTATCTAAGCTGAATAATTTTTCAACATTTTCAGTGCTCAGTGCTAGTATGTCAACGAAACGATGAGTATATCTTTCAGCAGCAACCAAAAAATTCACAACAAGAAATTTTTCGATGGCANCCGTTTTCAGGTTTATGATATCACAACATTTGCAGTCGAATGAATGCCGTAAAAAATTTTCACCCAGCAATTTGCAGAAAACGGAAACTGTTCACGCTCATAACACATTTAGCCACCACTGCAACTGACCGCTCGAATAGCAATCAATCACTCCGAAGCGTTTAAAAACGGATTCCAAAATCAAAAATTTCACACAACTCGAACGAACTACAAGCAATGAAAATCATATTGAACATGACGCCGTTTGACTGTTGCAAATTTATCTCAGTTCAAATTCCCTTCAAACTGAAATATTTCCTAACAATAAGCATCCATGTTTTATCCTTGTCATCATCTTTAGATGCCAGTCACCCAAACAGCACACTTCTTGACTGATCGCAGTCAATGATCAATGATCAATATTTCATTTCATTGCTTTTTTGAGCACATCAAACCTATATTGAATTGGATACTTGAAATTGTTAGTATCTTACCTTCAAAACCTGCAATATTTTCAACTTATTCCCTCAAATGGTTGTTGCAACGATTTCCTTACCAGTTCCTATTTGCTCATATCAGAGCGAAAACACTTTGAATGCATCATCAGCTTTTGAGAGTAATTTCCATTCGTAAAAGCTGACAAATGTTTTGTTTGACTCCCGATTGAAACTGCTTATGCGATAGCATTTAAGCGTTCGATTTTCTTCTCATCGAACATAACGAACATACACTCAGATCAACGAATGCAGTCTTCTTGTCGAAGAAATGGATTTTTCAACAATTTTTGAATTTCAGGGAACGGAAATGCCGTTCGCTGCTCACTCGGCACGACTTGGCTTATTGAGGAAAGGGGAAAAGAGAAGAATTTGGTTGCAATAAAAACAAACCAGCTCACTGACGAGTGGAATGGTGTTTTTGGTCCTGGAGACATTCATGTTCGGCATGGCGTCAATACTTTTGTAGAATGCATTCGATGCACTATCGGTTGCATTCGCTTCGAACAGTGTTGACTGAAATATGGATGTGATTTATGGAATACGTTAGTGAAGATGACTAAGGGCCATATGGAAGAAAACTGCGAAGACCGATCACCACGGAATTCGCTAATCTGTTGAATTGGTTTTGTTGAAGAAAACACTTTCAACTGAATTTTTGTGGACATGAAATTTGGTCATTGGTCATCATCAAGAAGTAAACTTCGATATATTACCATCTGTAAGAACTCAGCTGACTAACTTATATTTTGAGATTTGCATACCTGTTCATCAGCCCATTAACACATTGTGAGCAATCAATCAGAAGATCATTTGGTTGTGATCAGCACAAGCATCTAGGAATGTCCTATGATTGCAAGTACAAATGTGTGAAATTGATTCGATTGCAGAACGCAAGAAAGTGATTCGAGTTCACTGAACTCATCACAATTTGAACATCAAAAATTAGAATCAAGATGAGACACCACAGCGGGATTTGTGTGTAGGAATATGTTGGACATCTTTCTATCAATTGTATGATTCGATTAAGCGTTATCAAACAGAATGACAGCTGAGAAGGACGACATATTGCCTCGGGGAATGAAGATGTGATAGGGTTGTGGGCAATATTCTGAGAGTTTTGTCATCGTTGATGAGATCTACACATATGGTACCAGTCACCGCATTCACGGTGTTTCATTTACATACGGTACGTTTGTTTGTTCATTTGTTTGTTGTGTGCTTAATTGCTGAAGACTATCTGATTCTTTATAATAAAACTATTGTAGTTATCACTACGATTGCAATTATTATCGATA